CCTCCAGCCCGCCTTCCCTGGGTCCCTCCTGGGTCCCAGGAGCACCCAGGAGGGACCCTGCAGGTTTTTCCATGCACAAATCCAGCCACCCATCTCAGCCATGACCTTAAAGAAAAAACAGCCCCTGATACCTCTCGACAGATCCTCCCCCTCACCCAGGTCTCCCCTGCAGCTCAGGTTGTTCTTCATTCAACCGGGGGTCTCCAAGAAACGACCTGCTCATACCCTAACGACCCCGGCGCAGGCGGTTTGGTCGTTTGTGTGGTTGTTTTGTTGAGGGTTGGGGTCATTACTTAATGACAATGAGTCGTTGTACACATGGTCACCCGCTGATGTTTAAAAGATAAGACATTTGTCAGGGTGGTGGGGGTGGGGGGAGGCCCTCGGCGGGCTCCTGCCAAGACGTTTCCGAACGGAATAGTCATTGGGCTGCCAGATAATTCAGAAACTATTTGTATGAGCTGTTTATCAAATTATTAACCGCACAGATGTTGTTTGGCTGAAGAGCAGCTGAATCCCCTCTCTGGCAGCCGCGGAGAGAAAGGTCTCCAGGAATAATTGGAGATGTGCACGGAATATTAAATTAATTTACTGCTCTTAATTCTTATGCAAATTTTGACCTCCGATGGCGCCTATCAATTACCCCGCGCGCGGTGAAAGCGGAGGCGACAGTTTCTTTTTCTACTCTTTGCTTTTTTTTTTTTTTTTTAAGAACTCGCAAAAGGAAATGTTTGCAATAAGCAGGCGGTGGGAGCAACGGCGTCACTGCACCAATTTAATTGAATCTCCCGAGTTTTAGGGGATGTCCCTGTCCTAGGGCACACCGGGTGCCGGAGGGGAGGCGGAGGAATTTGTGGGGTTGACCGAAATGCAGCCACCAGCAGGAACCGGCGTTGTCTGGGCTTGCAGGCCGCTACGGGCCTGGGCTTCCACCCCGGGCCGGCGATTTGCCTTAAGCCCCCGTGCGCCCCCCGCAACAACCCGAAACGCTCCGGCTGCGGCTCAGGCGCGGCTGGACGCACGTCTTCCTCCGATCTTGGCCTCCAAGGTTTCCATCTGCGCTCTGGCGTCCGCTGACTTATTATTATTTATTTTTTTTCTTAGGGTTTAGCCAGTCCTTGAACAATCCCCAACTTGTTCCTTGGCGGAAAAACTAAGCCAGGGCGCGGCGCGCTCCTGTTCCACGCCACTTGAAGTCCCGTGTGGGCCGAAATCAGACGTCACTGTCTCCCGCGTGGAGAAGACACGCTCGCTCTTTTCCCGGAGCCGAGCAACAACAAAAAACGCCTAGGCTTTGTTTGCGCCGCCGGCCGAGATGCTGCGCAGTGCCTGCGCCCGAGCGGCGGGCTGCAGGGCTTGGGTTCTCCGCGTCTTTCATCCTCTTCCTAATAAGGGAAACTACACCGGGCGCGTCTCGTCGCCAGCCCGGGCCCGACCTCGCCGGGACCTCGGCAGCCCAGTGATGTCGCCGGCGGCCCCCGGCGCAGCCGCGCCTCGCCGCCTGTCAGCTCCTCGCGGGCCCCCCACAAAAGCCAGACAACAATATCAATTAATCATGCAGCGGGCAACAAGGAGATTTATCCCGCGACAAACAGCCCCTCCGAGAGGCGCTGAATGGGCGTGATTAGCATGTGAAAAGGCGAGCAAAACTCCGCGGTTCAACAGCTAAAGAGCAATTTGATGGGGCTGGGATGGGGAAATTACTTGATTAGCGTCCGTCGGAGGAGAGCATGGTGACAGCCCCGCGGCCCGGAATCCGACAGGCGAACAAAACGCGCTGGTAAACGCGGCTCCGAGGAGCGAGCGCGGGCTAGGGAGGGGAGCGCGGGGCCAGCCCCGAGCGGGATCGGGGTCTGGGGGCGCGGAGAGCGGGTAAAGGGACTGACCCGCTGGCCACCGCCAAAGGCCAACGCCTGAGCCCACGGGGGCCACGACAGCTGGCTCTCAGTGCCCGCGCCAAGGGCTCCCAGGCCGGCACGGGGCAGACGCAAGGCTCCCGCAGCCGGTGCGAGAGGTCAACTTTCCTTTTAACACGCTGCCGCGTCTCCGGTCCGCGCAGAGACACAGACGGAGGCGCGTGCGGGAGGGGAAAGCCCACCCACTTGGTCCCTGGAGTCCACTCCGGTTCCCCCCAAGGGGCGCGATCCGCTGCCGCAGCAGCCTCGGCCAGCTTCAGGGCCCAGGCCCCCACGTCGGAGTCGCAACGCTGGCTAGGCCGAGGCTGCACGCGTGGCTCCCCGGTTCCGATTCGCGCAGGCAGCAGGCTCTGGAGTGGGACAAAGCGGTTTTTTTTTTTTTTTTTTTTTTTTTGCGCACCTCCCTTCCGGCTCCAGCCTCCGCGTTTGAGCTCAGCGCCTGGCGAGAAGGGCTCCTCCATCGCGCCATCCACCGGGCGGAGGTGCGGAGCTGGAAGGGAGAGCCCTACCTGCTTTCGGTGGGCGGAATGCGGCGCTGTCGGTGAGAGCGCGACCGCGGTGGGGTAGGAGCCGGATGGAGCAAGCTCCGGGCCGGCTGGGGCTCTGGCGGCGCTTGGTTGAGCAGCCTCGGCCCTGCCTTGGATCCGGTTACGCTGGGGCCCGAATTGGTGGCGTGGGAAGTTGGGCACGGCAGCGTCCTCCCCAGGCCCGGAGAGCAGCGCCGAATGCCCCTGGCCCAGGTTTTGTTTCGCCTGGAGAATCGGGCCTCACGGACCGGGGGGCTTTTATTGGTGAAGAAGACGAGCGACCTGGAGAAAGGCTAAGGCGCAGGTCAGAGTGCGTAGGACAAGGCCAAGTGCAGCGTGAGGATATGCTTAAGCCCCTTGCTCCCCAGGCGGGCACACACACCTATCCAGCTACCACAGACCTGGCCCCGCAGCTAAAGCCTGCGCCCACCCTGAGGAGAACGCAGGTTTCCTGCTCCACGCGCCTGGAACCGTCCCTTTCGGCTCATACCCACAACTCCCTGCTCCCTAGCTCCTCCCAGTGCCAAGGAAGGGGGAAGGTTCCCACCCGGTCCCCAGAGGCCCAGGCTAACGCGCTCCAGATCTCGGCACCCACGTCCAGGGTCCTTCCGGCTCGGGCTCTCAGTAGGGGTGCACCCGTGAACCCCCCGAAGCCGGCCTTCAATGTGCCTGGCAGAGAAAGAGCCCCTAAGGCGGTGTTCCAGAAGTTCACAAACACAAATGCAATAAAGACTTGAGCTGGCAGATCTGCCATAGCCCTGGCTGTCCGGAACCCACCCAACCCTTTGGCACAAAAAAAAAAAAAAAAAAAATCAGGGGGTCAAGGCTTTTTATTTTAAAGTGGAGGATAGATCGCCCCATCGAGCTAAACAAATCGTCACTTGGCTGAACAATGTCAATTAACAAACCGCAGCTCGTGACTTCAAAAGGCTCAATTGTTTCTGAGCTGTTTCTGGTATTGGGTGTGCAGCGAACTCCAGCTCGCTGCTGGCCGCGCGCGCCCCTCTCTACTCCGCGGCTCTGTGCCCCCAGACCCTAGCCCAACCCTGCCGAGACAACACTCCCGGCTTGATGGCTGTGCTGAGGGCCTGGAGGGCGCACCCAGAGGCAGAGCGCAACGGCTGCACCAGCGCGGCCCGGCGGCTGCAGCGCGCTCTGCTCTGGGAAGCTGAGACTCGCCGCCCTACAGGGCAGGGCGCACGCCTCGGCTGCGGAGCCCCACACCCCCGGCAGTGACTCAATCAGTGCGCAAAGCCCGCGGGCCACGCAGCAAGACCTGTGGAAATCCCCGTCGCGCGGCCGCCCATCCTTCTCCAAGCAAGGCTAAGGCGCCCTGTAGCTGGAAGCGGTTCCTCCGGGCAGCCGGGCCCGTGCGTTTTAATTGCAAAAGACAAACGGTTCAGCCGTCGCCGGGGCGGTGGCTGGGATAGGTGCCTGGATGCCTTTGCCTGCTTTGCGGCAGAGCTGTTCGCACGAACGGAGCCGGCTCAGGGCTGTCTGGCTTTGTAGTTATTTGTACAAGTTCTGCCCGGTACCCATCACGCTGCCCTGAAAGGCAAAAGAGACCGCTGCAATTTATTCCAATGGGCGGTTTTTAAGAAGCTGGCAATTTGAACCGGCTGGGTGTTATTTAGTGCAATATGAAATCAAATGATCCTATTTCTCAAATAACAGTGTCTGTGAGGAGAAGTGAATCCTTTGAAAGGGTAATTGTCTGCTGATGGTGTTTCCCATTACACCCGATCTTGCCCTAAATGGTGTTCGGCAGCGGGGTGGAGAGCGACGGGAGAAATCAGCGCGCGCCGACCCGCGCTCACGCGGGAGGCGCAAACACGCAGCCCCGCTCGCGTCCCGCACGTCGACGTGCACGGCCACCGGAGGCCACGTCGTGCCGCAGGGGTCCGAAAGCACTGGGCTTGTGGGGGTCCTGTGGATCAGAGGATACGGCTACCTCTTCCTCCTTCCGCAACTCTGGGGACCCGGAGTGCCCTGGCGACTGCTTAGCTGGTTAACGACCATCGGCCGAACAACACCGGGTTTAGATGTCCCTCGCCCCTCCTCCCCGCAACCCAGTTACCACGGAGAACTAGCAATTCTTCCTCCCAAGGACACGCTTCTGTCTCAGCCCTTCCCTGTCCAGCTTCCGGAAGCCAGACGCAATGCCTGGGAAAGACACTGCGCGCCGGGCGCGCGGGGCACGTTACTCACGCCCTATCTTGAGAGAGGACAAGGTTGGTCCTGAGCATTGAAGTTGTCCTCCGTGGGTCCAGCCACTGTTTTTTGTGGAACCAGATACAGGGGCTCAGGTCCCGTCTGCGAGGTGCGCAGACCTAGAGCAAATTTGAGAAACGATGTAGGCAACAAGGCCAAACGCGGCACGTTGGAGCCGAGCGGCGGCCTTGGGTCGTGGACCCCGGGGGTTCAGCGCCACAGCCTGCGGGTACTACGCGGGCTGCCTCTTCGTGGCCGCAGGCAGCAGCCATGGTCCCCAAATTCCTACAAACGCACCTTGAGGGGCGTGGCCTCTTTGGGCAAAGGTGAGTGCGGCGCTAAGAAAAAGGCGCATCCAGGTTTTCAGGCCCAAGGGGCCAAGGGCTGGTGGACGAGGCTTCTGGCCACTTCCGCTCTGGCCTCCCTTTCCGATTCCCTCTCCCTCTAAGGAGAGTTTTGTGTGTGTCCTGAAAATCCTGAACCCAAGGTCCCAATTTGCTAATTTGGGGGGCATTTCAGGCTGCACCTCCCAGGGCCGGTGTGTGGCTGGTTCCCGCTCCAGCAAAAGAGGTCGGCTTTGTATTCCCTGCGTGCTTTTCTGCGAGACGCGCACAGACCGCGAGCTCTCTCTGGGGGCTCATCATCCCCCAGTATTGCTCCGCGCTTCTTCCAAACATCCGAAGAAGCTAGGAGAAGAAAGGGTTGAGCCCTACAGAACCAAAGAGCTGGGCCTAGGAAGCTTCCGCTCCTTTCTCGGAAGGGGGTTCGCGCACCGCACACCAGGCGCGCGGGTCCTGACACGCTCTTGGGCCTGCTTGGCTGAAGCAAAGCGGGCAGCTTGGGTTCACCCGGCGTCCCCATTCGGGATGCCATTTCTCTGCGGAAAGTCCAGCGCGCAGCAGCGGCTGTCTTCCCAGGCCCAGGGCACCGCCTGGACGCGGGGCCTCCAGGAGCGCCAGAGAGGTCGCGGCGCTTTCTTTTTCACTCAACCGGCCTCGGGGCTGAACGACCCGCCCTCCCGGCTTCAAACGTTAAGCCCTTCGACGCGGTCGGGAAGTAGGAGGCGCCACTCTCGGTGTCCCGCCGCTGGCGGCCTCTCGGAGCCCGCGCGCAGTCCCTGAGCCGCGCGCCGCGGCGAACGCAGCGCCCCCATCCCCAACCTCGCGTTCCGGGCGGACCCGCGCGTGGCGGCGGGGACCGTGAGAGGGCAGCCGGCCCGCTAACCCGCATCCAAGCTTCTCCGAGGCGAAGGGATGCCACGCCCGAAGCTTTCCTGGACTCCGGAAGGCGGGAAGTGACCGCCAGGAGGTCCCGCCAGGAGCCTCAGTTTAGATCGGATCTCCGCACCAACCAGAAACACCCCCGAGAGACTCTGCGCCGAGTTCCAGGGGCGTCTCGCTGCCTCCCCCCGGCCTCCGTCTCTTGCCCGGCTGCGTGCACCCGACTTTCCTCCGACGTGCGGAACCCCGAGGTGGCGCGAATCCCGCCGGGCACCGCACAAGCCCGGAGTCCGCGGGCTAGGGAGGGAGCGGGGCTTGAGGCGGCACTCTGTCGGCCCTGTGGGTAGGAAAACCCTCTCCTTAGGTCTCGGAGTCGGGAGACCGCGGGGCCGGGCCGGGCGCCCCCTCTTCCCCAGGGGAGCGGGGTGTGTGCGGGACCCAGGGACGCTAAGCCCCTGTGGTGCAGCAAAGAGGGATTTTTCAAAACCGTCCGTCCCGTGCCCGGGGCCATTTTTCCGGCCCTCTCCGCGCCTTGGCGGGTAGAGCGGGCGCCTGGCGCTACTCGTGGGCTCAGCCCCAAGCTACCCAGGGCCCATGCCTCCCCTCCCCTCGGCCGAACACCCCATCCACCGCCCTCCGCCCCTCCGCAGCCCCACTGACCTTGGGGAGGTGGCTCGCCGGGCGTCGCCAGGCGCTGTGCGGAGGAGGCGCGCGGCTTCGCGCGCAGCCGGGACCCGCGGCCGCTCGGCGTCCGCCCTGGGCGGCCCCCGAGAGCGAGCGCGGAGCTCCCCTCCCCCCACGCCTGATCTTTTAATCACACGGGATATTAAATTATCGAGTCGCTCATTAATCATCACGGGAGTTATTGGGACTAAACTCGCCGCCACGTGTTTTTGACGGCCCGGAAGGCTTCGCGCGGGTCGGGGTGCGTCTGGGTTTGGGGGATGGGATGCGGGGCTCTCACCGCTCCGGGGGAACATCTGGGAGCCCCACAGACCTGGTGGGGTCTCCTGCCTGGGAGAAAAAAAATATATTAGGAAAAGCGCAGGTTAGATTTGATGAGTTTGGTCTAGGGTTTTTTCAAAAGCCCAGACGCACCCCTCCCGGGCCCGTTCCCTTAATATTGGGATTTTGGTCACGGTGACTAAGACAGCCGGCGGTGTATATGTGATCGACGGCGTCTGTCTTTGCGGTTTTTCAGGAGGACGCGTTACCCACCGTGGACCGTCTGCCGTTAATGTCTTAGACATTGGATGGAGCCAAGTCACCGACGTGGATCAGAAGGATGCGTTTCGCCGGCCTCCAAGGGGCTCTCTCGCCTTTCCCGTACTACCCACGCACAGGAAGACAATAAAGGACTTTAAAAATAAAATTCTCTGGGCTTTCATTTCTAAAATAAACAGTGCGTTTTACCCTGAAGTCGTTAGAAACTGGTTTTATTTTCCCGGGCTGGTCCCCCCCCTCCTTTCCCTCTTCCTTTTAGGTAGCTCTTTTTAAATGAATAGACCAATTAAAATTAAGTCCTTATGACTTGGTTCCGTGCGTAGACGCAAGTGCTCATAAAAAAGCTGTCTTAGTGGCACAAAGGAGGATACTTAGTTCTCAGCACCAGCCAGATACCTCGGGAAGAGATGGTGCAGATGGGAATCTGTCCACTGCCAGTTTTAAAAAAAATACTTCCTTCGAGATTAGAGTTTGGAGGAAATAGAATGCCCCCTGTGCAGTCTCTTTCCACCTTGGCACAGGCCAATGCTAGTAGGAGGCAGAATGCCAGATTCTGCAGGCAAGGCTGTGAATTTAGCTCAGCTGGCAAGCAAAGTTTTCTGAACAAGTAGTAGATCCAATCAATTTGTTTCTGTAAAACAGAAACAAATACCAACGTGGGGCATGCTCAAAATCCTTAATAGCTAAATTGTGTTTAGATTTCTTACCAGAATGCGTGATCAATTTCATAAGCAAAGAAGTACATAAATCCTGACCCCATGGTCATGTTTTACCCCAGAATATCACCGATAATATTCAATGAGTCCAAGACCATTTTCTCTCCTAGGAATCTGTTGTGTACATTTTTCTACCCTGCTCACTAACACACAAAGAGATAGGTATCAAAACTCACACACACACACACACACACACACAGTGAGGGGAGAGCGAGAGGGGTGAGATTCATAAATCCTAAAGATAGAGCAGAGTGCAACAATAATAGGATGTGTTTTTTTTTCCATAAGCCATTGGAGAAAAACTATCTAGAGTCTCTCTCTCCACGCATGCCTACATCCATTCTGCAATGACAGGGACATTTGTTGTCAGGGATTGAGACAAGAGCTGTGTGTCCCAGGAGCTCTTTCCAGGTAAAGTGGACGATCGGTAACTGCCTGCTCAAAAATCCTGTTTTAAAACAGGAAACCTTGAACATAATCTGAATTGTCCAGACGGTGTGGGTTGGTGGACTTGCAATTGCCTATTTCCGATATGTAGAATGAGGATCAAGACTATCGGAGGAGCTTTCAAAAAATAAATAAATAAATAAAGTTTTGTTGAATGGCATCACTAAAAATGGGACAAATTAATCATTGCATCCATTTCCTATTTTTCTGGATCACACTGCTTTTGCACATATCCTTCCATTTGAGTCTCACCGGAATGCTAGAGTGCTTGGTGGAGGGAGAGAATTCAATTTCTCCTCCTATGCCGCTTGTTCGTGACTTAGAGCAAAGGGCAGGAATCCACATTTCATGACTCTTAGTCCAATGCTCTTTCCAAACAACAATTAACGTATGAACTTCCAATTTGTTCTCTTCTGTAAGCTCTCTGCCATCTCTCAATAAGGTTAAGCACATTAATTTTCAGAACGTCTTTAGAATGTAACAAATTTGGAAAGTAGTCTTGATGGAGGATCAGCTCAGCCTTTAGTTTTAGCTCTGTGACCTTGGATGATGCACTCACCAACTTGAATTGGGTTCCTGGAGAAGCAGGCCCTAAGCCAAAAATTTGACTGCAAGTGGATTTTTCAGGAGGTGATTATGGAAAAGAAACAAGAAAGGGAAGACAGCAGAATACACAGTTACAATTTACACAACTGAAACCTAATTCTTTAAGATTTATTTATTTACTTTAAAGAGTGAGAGAGAGGGAGAGACAGAGAGGGAGAGAGAGAGAGAGAAAGAGATCTTCCATCTGCTGGTTCAATCCCCAGATGGCTGGGCCAGGCTGAAGCCAGGAACCAGGAGTTTCTCATGGGTCTCCCACGTGAGTGGCAGGGGCCCAAGCACTTGGGCCATCTTTTGCTGCCTTCCAAAGCCATTAGCAGGGAGCTGAATCAGAAGTAGAGTAGCGGCGGTGCCGCGGTTCACTAGGCTCATCCTCTACCTGCGGCACCGGCACACCAGTTCTAGTCCCGGTCAGGGCGCCGGATTCTGTCCCAGTTGCCCCTCTTCCAGGCCAGCTCTCTGCTGTGGCCAGGGAGTGCAGTGGAGGATGGCCCAAGTGCTTGGGCCCTGCACCCCATGGGAGACCAGGATAAGTACCTGGCTCCTGCCATCGGATCAGCGCGGTGTGCCGGCCGTAGCGCGCCGGCCGCGGCGGCCATTGGAGGGTGAACCAATGGCAAAGGAAGACTTTTCTCTCTGTCTCTCTCTCTCACTGTCCACTCTGCCTGTCAAAAAAAAAAAAAAAAAAGAAGAAGAAGAAGAAGCAGAGTAGCTGGGACGTGAACCAGTGCCCTTATGGGATGCATCGCAGGCTTTACCTGGAAATCACTGGAGAAAGCCACTTGAGGGCAAGGAAACCGTGGTATCCAATTCTTGTCAGTCAGTCATGGTTTGAGGACGAGGGTGACTATTAACTTCCCAGGCTTCAGACTTGCCCCACAGGAGACAGAGTGGACTGCAGCCAAGGAAAGCCCTTAGGCAACGATTTGCAGGTGCTGGCATTTGGATGGTGGGCCCTGGAAATGGTATTTTCCCCAAATGACCACATCTGTATCTCCCAGCCCACACGTTCTGCAATGTGTGTAGGTGGGAAGGATTTCTCTCTGAGAGGACCCTGTGACTGCTTTGACCATTAAAACAGTGAGCATGATATTGTATTAGCTCTAGACATAGGTATTAAATGGGCCTTAGCACCCTCCTAGTCCTCTACTGGCTCTTGGAGGCACTTCCTCGCAGAATGTAGCCATCCACATGCTGAGAGAATTCCAAGCCACCTGGAGAAGGATCTTGTGCTGTATACAGTTCAAAGCCAGCTGTGCACACACCCAATAGCTTCCACTGGCCATGGGAGTGAGTCATCTTAGATATCCAGCGAAGTCTTTAGAAGACTGCTGCTCAGCACACATCTGACTGCACTGCATGCTACAATGGTTAGTTTCACTCTGTGTATCAACATGGCTAGTCTATGATATCCAGTCATTTATTCAGACACTTATCTAGGTGTTGCTGTGTGGGTATTTTATAGATGTTAGGTAATATCTAAATTCAGTCAACTTTAAGTAAAGGAGATTACCCTTGATAATGTGATGGAGAACTCATTCAGACAGTCAAAGGCTCAAGAGTAAAGACACGTTTCTAGAAAAAAGTTCTACCTTAGGGCTGAAGAGGTTTTCGGTGCAAGGGTTAAGCAGCTGCTTAGGATGCCCGTATCCCATATCAGGCTGCCAGATTCAAGTCCCGGCTCTGCCCCCAACCTCAGCTTCCTGTTAACATGCACCATAGGAGGCACCAGGTAATGGCTCATGTAGTTGGGTACCTGCCACCCATGTGAGAGACGCAGGCTGATTTGCTGCCTCTTGGATTTGGCCTGGCCCAGCCCCAGCCATTGCAGGCATTTGGAGAATTGAACCAGTAGGTGAGAGATTTCTCTCCCAACCCCTTATCTCTCTCTCAAATTAAATAAATAACATTTAAAATAAAAAAGGACCCTGGTATCAACTCCTGCATGACTGTTCACTCCTGCCAACTTGTCCTACAGACATCAGATTTGCCATTTCTTGCAATTACAGGAGCTAGTTCCTTTAAAAATACACACAGACACCCACACACATGCACACACACAGAAACACATATATAAGTCATCTCCAGACAGCATAACTGGGCGGGATCATAGTTCAAAAAGTCAATGATTATTATGGTCGTCACTCTAGTACCCACAGGAGATTGTGTCTAGGATCCCCTGCATTTGCCAAAATTCATGGATGCTCAAATATCATAATAAAATGGCATGGTATTTGCATGCAACCTATACATATTCTTCTGTATACTTCAAACTCTAGATTATTTATAATACCTTATACAATGTAAGTTCTATGTAATTATTACTACTATGTAATTATTATGTATTACTATGTAATTACTATGTAATTATTATTGAAGATAATTATTGAAGATAAGGAGAAAGATGTCTTTACACGTTAAGTGCAGATACAGCCATCATGAGCCTAACTACATAGTACATGTCAGCAATAAATAATAAATAATATTTTTTCTCAATATTTTTGATTCACATTTGGTTGAATCCATGAAGTGAGGCAGAACTTGCAGATATGAAGCAATGACTACCTACTCTTTCCTCTCCATACTTTTTTAAAAAAAATTATTTATTTATTTGAAAGGTAAAGTTAGAGAGAGAAGGAGAGAGAGATAAAGAGATCTTCCATCTGCTGGTTCACACCCCAAATGGTTGCAATGGCCAGGGCTGAGCCAGGCCGAAGCCAGGAGCCAGGAGCTTCTTCCTGGTCTCCCATGTGGGTGCAGGGACCCAAGGTCTTGGGTCATCTTCCACTGCTTTCCCAGGTGCATTAGCAGGGAGCTGGATTGGAAGCAGAGCGGCCAGGACTCAAACCTGCACCTACATGGGATGCCGGCCCTGCTGGTGGGGCTTAACCACTGTGCCACAGCTCTGGTCCTCCTTTCCCCTTTCTACACACGCGCGCGCACACACATACACACACAACACACATATGAATACATATACATCATACATTAATACTTTTCTCTGGAGAATCCTGACTGCTAAAAGTTCCAAGCAAGAACTAGTCAACTCAGTTAAGTAAATCCACAGAACCATAAAAAGTAATTTAAAAATTGTTGTTTATAGTGTAGCAATAGACAGAGCAGGAAGTGACATTGTCCACTAGTCTCTGATTCTCAGTGCATGTTTCATCATCCCTGTACTGAGTACCTTGTCATACCTTGACCTTTGGTATTTTCAAATTTTGCTCTCAAGTTCCCAAGGCTCATTAATGTTGAACTATTTTACTGTCATTCAATTTAGAATGCATATTTTGTTAACACTAAAGCAAGCAAAATATGAAATAATGAGTAAAAATATGGACATATTACTAAATTACAAAAATTGTAGGAATGAAAGAGGTTA